TAAATACCATATGATTTCACTTATATGCAGAATCTAAGGAACAAAAAGAACAAACTAATCAAAAACAGACTCACAAATATAGTGGACAATTTGGCGATGGACAGAGGGGAGGGGGTTTGGGGAGCTGGAAGAATGGGGTGAGGGGTTGAAGTACAAATTAGTAGTTGATGGATGGTCACAGGGATGGCAAGCACAGCAGAGGGAATGCAGTTAGCATTTATATGATGGCTAGGTGGAGGGTCAGGGGAGGTAGAGAGTAATTGGGGGGATCGTTTTATGAACTATATAGACGTCTAACCAATGTACTGTATACCTGAAACAAATTTAAATTAATAAATTTTTTAAAAAAGAGCAAGGCTCTGAAATTAGGTGATCCAAATCCTCAGTAATCCTGTGACAATGAAGGTAAAGTTTTCTATGAGGTTATTACTCTTCATGTGTCAGTACTGCTGGGAGTTCGCATAAAGACGAAGAATTAAAGAGCATTTGTGTATTATACTCTTATTGAAATAAAATACACCAAAAAGCACACACACACAAAAAGAATACATTAGAGGGAATCAACAGATTGGATGAAGCAGAGGATCGAATTGGTGATTTAGAGGATAAGATAGCAGAGGACACCCAATCAGAACAGCAAAAAGAATAAAGAATCAAAAACAATGACGATAATTAAGGAGCCTCTGGGATATCAAGTGTAACATTTGCATCATAGGGATACCAAAGGGCGAAGAGAAAGGGCAAGGAATTGAAAACCTATTTGAAGAAATAATGACAGAAAACTTCCATAACCAAGTGAAGGAAACAGACATACAACCCCAGGAAGTTCAAAGAGTCACAAACAAGATGAACCCACTGAGGCCCACTCTGAGATACATCATAATTAAAATGCCAAAGGTTAAAGCAAAGTGAGAATCTTAAAAGCAGCAAGAGAAAAGCAATTAATTACCTACAAGGGGAACTCCAATAATACTGCCAGCTGATTTCTCAACAGAAACTTTGCAGGCCAGAAGGGACTGGCATGAAATATTCAAAGTTATGAAAAGGACCTACTACCAAGATTATTCTACCCAGCAAAGCTATCATTTAGAATTTAAGGACAGAAAAAGAGCTTTACTTTAAATGTAAATGAATTAAATGCTCCCATCAAAAGACGGGGTGGGTAAATGGATAAGAAAACAAGATCCTTACATATGCTTAAGAAGAAAAAAATATGTATCAAAAATGATTAATAAAATGGCAATAACTGCCTATCTAGCAACAATTACTTTAAATGTAAATGAATTAAATGCTCCCATCAAAAGACGGGGTGGGTAAATGGATAAGAAAACAAGATCCTTACATATGCTGCCTACAAGAGACTCACTTCAGATCAAAAGACACACATAGACTAGAAGCAAAGGGATGGAAAATATTTCATGAAAATGAAAACAATAAAAAAAACTAGGGTAGCAATATTTATACCAGACAAAATAGACCTTAAAACAAAGGCTATAAAAAGAGACAAAAGACATATTTATGTGAAGAAAACCAAAATACTATTTTGAAAGGACATGTGCATCTATATGTTCATTGCAGCATTATTTACAATAGCCAAGATATGGACGCAATCTGGGTGTCCAATAATGGATGAATGGATAAAGAAGAAGTAGTACAGATATACAATGGAATATTACTCAGCCATAAAAATAAATGAATAAATAAATAATTAAAAGAATGAAATCTCGTTATCTGCAACAACATGGATGGACTAAAAAAGTATTGCGCTTATTAGAGTAAGTCAGATAGAAAAGACAAATGCCATATGACTTCTCGTACATGTGGAGTCTAAAGAATAAAATAAAACAGAAATAAACTCATTAATACAGAGAACATTTTTTAGAGTTACCATATGGGATTGGGGTTGGAAGGGTGGATGAAAGAGGGGAAGGTATTAAGAAATACAAATTGGTAGTTACAAAATAGTCATGGGAATATAAAGTATAGCCTAAGAAATATGGTCAACAATATTGTAATAACTATCGACAGTGTCAGATGGGTACTAGATTTATCAGGGTGATCACTTCATAAGTTATATAAATGTCTAATCACTATGTTGTACACCTGAAAATAATATTATATGCCAACTATAATCAAAAAATTAAAAAAATAACAAAAAACAAAATGAATTATGAAAGTTCTAAACCCAATAACTTGTTCATACAACTCTCTCCAAAAGAGACTGCTCTGTCTTTATCTGAGTTCTTTCTGTATTATCACTCTAATGGATTTAATCTGAGACAACCTACAGATTTGGGGCCCAATCTCGCAGTATACCAGACAGAGGAAAATAAATACCAAATGATTTCACTTATATGCAGAATCTAAGGAACAAAAAGAACAAAGTAATCAAAATCGGACTTACAAATAGAGAGGACAATCTGGTGATGGGCAGAGGGAAGGAGGACTGGGGTGCTGGAAGAATGGGGCAAAGGGTTAAAGAAGTACAAATTAGTAGTTGAAAGATGGTCACGGGGATGGGGAGCATGGCACAGGGAATGCAGTCAGCATTAACGTAATGGCTAGCTGGAGAGCCAGAGGAAAGAAAGAGCAATTGGGGGATCATTTTATAAATTATATAACTGTCTAGCTAATGTACTGTATACTTGAAGCAAATGATAAAATAAAATTTAAAAAATAAAAAATCTAAATTTCAGAAAGGCACATGATTTTATGAGTAACAAAATGAAAAATAGCAAAATAACTACATAATTTAAATACTCTAAACATATGTAAAATAATTTGACTATGCTATCATTCAGAGCATTATTAAATAACTTTAGATTACTGGAACCAAAGAAGGTAATTCTATTGGGGCCTTATCAAACGCACAAGATTGGATCACAAGAAGTTGATTCTTACCACATTTAATACATTTAAAATTTTCAACAAACTTAAAAGTGTGCCCATTAATCATTCATTTAGATCAGAGAGTGTACAGGTATTATTTTTATTGCTGTTATGCTTTTTGTTAATATTCTATGATTTTTAACAAATTGCTTTCTTAACTTTTATGACATACAAAATATATAAAACTGAAGCTTGATTTTATGAAGACACCTCACAGCTACCACCACTACCACAACCACCATACAAACTTCCTTTTTCTAGATATTAGCTCATGGGTGACCCTACAGTATACATGCATGTACACACTTTAATTTCAATGTCCTTGATGCTGATAAAATTTAAAGGAAAATCTTATCAGCATGAATTCTTTTTCTTTTTTACTATGTATATGTATTATCTATACAATAAACGTTTTAAAAAGTAGTATCAGGCATCAATGTAGCAGAGGTAATTAGAAAAAATGAGCAAAAGCTATTCACTTTTTTAGGACTGAGAATCTGTTATACTAAAAGAGTAAGTTTACAATACGTAAAATATGAAACCAAATTCCTATTTATTATAATCATACAAAGTTAACTTTAAATCTTGCATTATATGTATTTAGTTGAATTTTAAGTCCGAGACTTAGAAAATACCTGTGACAGAAAAAAAAAATTTAATGACTAAAAAAATTTCAAATTATAGTAAAAAATACATAACATAAAATTGACCATCTTGAGCATTTTTAAGTTTATAGGTCAGTCCTGTTGAGTACATTCACGGTGTTGCAAAACAGCTCTTCAGAACTTTTTCATCTTGCAAAACTAAAACTCCATACCCATTGAACAACTCCCCATTTTCCCCTTCCCTCTCTTTCTATTTCTATGAATCTGATTACTTTAAATATCTCATATAAGTGGAATCATACAATATTTGTCTTTTTGTGACTGAAATACTTAGCATAATATCCTCAAGCTTCATCCATGTTGTAGCATGTAACAGGAGTTTCTTCCTTTTTAGGGCAGAATAATATTCTAATATATGTAGTATATACAACATTATATTCATCCATTATCTGTCAATAGACATTTGGGTTGCTTCTACCTCTTGACTACTGTGAATATTGCTATGAACATGGTATGCGAATATCTCTTCGAGATACGAAAAATTTTGTAATCAGTTTTATCCAAGTGATAGGACTACTGAGTCTTTCAAACTAAATGTGTGCATTGTTACTGATAAGCAGTTGGAAGAAAAAAGCCTCAAACACTACAATGTGACAATGGAAAGAAATAAAAGACTAAAACTGCATATCAGTGTGCCATATTCAACTTATATATGGACAATGACTATTCATCTTACATAGCAAAATGCAGTCTCCTTACCAGTAATTATTATACCATCATCTTTATGAGCTTCAGCCATTTCTTGAACATGGACTTCTGAGTTCACATCAACCTCTTTTCCTGATAACTGTAAATGAGCTTGAAGAGAAGATGTGACCTTGACAAGAATAGAGCCTGTAATAAGTTTAAAGGAGAGCTTATAAATGCAAAGAAATCAAAAGTACCAGAGCCTATTATAAAAATGCTCCTGGTACACTGTCTTTACTCCTCAGCAGAGTTTATTTAAAAAACAGTCTTTTCCTTGTTCCCAGGTGGTCAAACATTACCTTCCTCCCAAGGCACTGACAGTAACTTCTGGCAAGGGTATGAGTCATTAGGACATTATGCATTACTATTTCTTCTTTTGCCAATAGCCCTCATCACCTTACCCAGTACCAGAAAAGGAGCAGTTTACTACACATGTAGCTTGTAAACAGGATTTACCACTAATTGAGAATATATGAAGAGCCAGGCACCTTAATTACATTATCTCTTTTAATCTCCATATCAACTTCAATGAGGTATTATTATCTCAATTGTGCAGATGAGAACTTGCTCAAGTTCCCACTAGAGCTAGTGTTGGAATCTAGATCCAGTTCAATGACAACAAAGCCCACGCTCTTAACCCACTGTGGTATGTCATATACTGCTACCTCACCTTATTACAGGACTTGTGACCTCACTGATCACTGTAACACAACTAGAACTCTGAGCTCTTGTGCTTTCAGTTGTATCTGGGGGGTGGGGGGGTAACAATAATAAAAAAAGAATATTTGAATTTCAACTGACTAATGTTTCTTTTCAATGGATTATAGTCTTTTGGATAATTGAGGCAAGACACTCATCTTTATTTCCATTACAATCTTGTAGTAATTAAAGCTTCTAAAGTAGGAAATAAGAAAAACTACTCTGTTAGCTAAGGCATTTTTGAAAACAATTCTGTGGGTTGCAGTACAGACTCAGCAGCACACTCCTGTTTCAGAAGTTTTTTCTTTCTGTTTCTCATACATCAAAAAAGTAAGAGGCCCCTGCCATAACACAGTAACCCCAGCTCTATGGACACAGATGGTCAGGATGACATCCATTGTGAATATTGTAAAGATTCGTTTTACAATGCATTTATTTACAGGTCACTGTTTGCCTTCTAGTTGGGTTAACATCAGCTTGTTTCTCTAAGTAGTTTAATATCTTCTCAGCCTTCCTAACTGGAGCTAGAAGTTTGGGGTAAGGCTGATAAACTCTCATACTTACTACTCAAAAAAAGCGGGGGGACGAAGTACATCACTACAGCTGGTTTTATTTAAAAAACAAATTGATTTTCAGAGTTTAAATGTAAACTACTGACAGAAAATTTCCCATAGCAACAGATATGAGGGCCTTAGGAAAAAAAAAAAAAACCAAACAACCCTGAAAAATTTCCAGAAGAATAGAAGATACATGTTTTTCTACCAAAACATACTTTAAAAAGTAGAAAATAATAGATTTTAAAAACTTTATTCTAGGACTTTATGTCTCTAAATATATCGAATATGATAATTTTATGAACACCTTTTTTCTGTTTTTAAATAAATGTCTCAAATCTGAGAGCTTTAAAAATGTTAAGCAATGCAGTTTTATCCTCATATCTTTCTACAGCCTTAAAAAACAAAACCCATCACTACCAAAATTCCATTACTGTTAGCAAATGAAGAATTCTCATGACTTGAAGACATTCCCAAATGTCTCCTTTAATATTATCTTTTTTAGAAAGAAGAGTTTTTTATTATATCTTCAACTTCTTTTCATTTCATAAGCTGTTTCACAGTTATTGACATCATTACCAGTCTTTTTAAATTAAAAAGTCATTATTAAAACTAATATTAATACCACATCATTTATTGAAGGCATACTATATTGAGATTAGAGGTTTATCATGGACAAATTTTAAGTAGAAAAGTCAGTATTCAGATGTAAGCCTGACTATCAAGCCCCAAAACAGTCTTTCTGAATGAATGAATAAGGTCACCATGTTGACTTTCATAGGGAGAGAGAAAACAAGCATTTTTCTTCACATAGCAAAATAGAGAAGACCTAAGAGACTCAAGTGGCTGACTCTTGAACACTACAGCAAGACAAGTTGTAAAGGATTCCAGATGTGTTCACTAAACATTAAGCAACAGAATAACTTTCCATTACTCTAAAAAGTTACTGTTGCCAAATGTAGTGAGAATTAAGAGACCTAAAGTCTCTTATGACAGAAATTTTTGCTTCCAGTTTTCTTTAAGTTTCTACCAGGAACATGGTTCCAGCAGGAGAAAACACAAAATTGTAATCCTAATCAAATTTTGCAACATCGTATGCCAGTTCAGTTGGTTACTGGAACAACATTCCAAATAATACTCAAATATATTTCAAGTGAATGAAGATGAACAATGTTTTTTGTTTGTTTTATATTTTCATCCATACAATTCAGGAAATAACTTTCACATAAAAGCTTTTAATCCATTACTAGTTACATTAAATGTAGTAATGGTTTGTTTTCTTCTCTATGTCAGTTATATGACTTTCATGGCGCTTACAAAATTCCCTGAATAGCATTATTGAAGCTCTTAGAAATTTAGTGAAAACACATTATCTAAAGGAAAAAAATGTGATTTTGAAAAATCAAATCACATCTGTGTGTCAGCAATAAGTTCAGTTTCAGACCCTGCGTTTGTAGTTTTGATACACTGACAAGTGAGCTTCACTGACAAAATGGTATTAAAGCAGTATGGCAAAGAAATTACTAATGGCAGGAAAAACTGATCTCTGTAAGGAATTATTTTACTTGTTATACATATAGCCCTGTTCTGTCCAATATACAAGAGCTTCTAGACTTTCTTTAAAAAAATTTTTTTTTAGGCAGAGCTCCAGTTTTTAACAACTTTGTGCACCCAGGCCACTTCAGTCCCTATGGCCAAGATACTTCAAGTACCCAGCCACTTGCCACCATGCACATGTGCATGTATGCAGACTCATATTCAGTTTTCAGATGACTAAAAAGTGTGTCATTTTTAATAAAAGATATGGACTCTTAAAATAAGTTATTTGTATTAGAAATAAGATTATAGAAAGAGACACGTCGTAAGTCTTGATACTTCAAGAGAGTAAGTCAACAATCACGTTAGAGGACCTTCCTGGTGATACCCTTATTTCAGTATCACATTTTGAAAAGTACTTCTCTTGAGTGATGGCCTCTTACAGACTGGTAAAAAAGCTTCCAACAGAACATATGGAAGCATTTTCCCTCAAAGAATATTCTATTTCAAACCCAAAACTAAACTGAAAAACCCAAACACTAACACTAAAAAATTTCACAATAACAAAGAGACAATATATTACATTTTGTTTGCACTACAAAGGGAAAGATAGTCTTAGTGGCCATGTGTCCCAAAAGAATACCCACATGGTATTCCAGTCTTGTATCCAAACTGGTATTCCAGTCTTTAAATCAGGTTATACCAGAAAAAATTATCTTGAAATCACTATGTCAGTACCATAGGTACTTTGATGACCTGTTTCCTGAATGTTATATAAAAGCTTCCATACACCATATGTCAAAATAAAACATTCCACTTGGCTAACCTTTATGAGATTTCAATTCCACTTTCCCCAGTTGGCTGACATAAACATCTAAGGCACCCTGATGAGTCGAGGCTTTTAGACATCCAGAGGACGAATCTAGGAGAAAGGAAAAAACTATAAGCATAATTATTCTCATGTGAGTACTTAGAATTATAAACTTGAAACAAAAGGCTCTGCTTTGACATTTGGATAAGAAGCTAAGAGTCTTGAAAGATTTCTTATTTTCCTTATAACTATGTCATCTGCTGCTTTAAAATAAACACAGGAACAGAAATCTAGAATTGTACCCCTAGACAACTAATAAAAAATCCCTACGTCTATAGTAACCTGCATAACTTCTCTCTAAACATCTAAGGCAACCTACCTAAACATGTTTACTCAAAAACCTAATGTGTAGGAAGGGCAGTAGGCAAGCAATGGATCCTTGATAGCCAAGACCATTAAGCATCATTGATAGATTTAGTTTACTATTAACTTGCAATATTTACTAAAGAATTCTATCCCATGTTAGTCACATATTAGTAGTAGCAAAGTTAATAAAAATCAAAACCTCTGAATTTTCTCCTTTTAGCAAATTTGCTAGTACTAGTGCTGCTAAGAGTGAAAGATTACACAAGGTTTTGTTGCATTTCTTTAAGGGACAGAAAGGAGGAGGAAATCACTGGAAGAGTGGGTGAAGCTTATTTATATCTAAATATTTCTTTTCAGGTTTCTGGAATTGAATAGGTATCTTTAAGTAAGGGAAAGAAAGTCAGAATTAAGGTGGTCCTTATTCGACACTCAAATTTCCTTATATCATCGTTGACTCCTTTTTTCAATGAGCCAACATTTCAAGTTCAAGGAAAAGCTGGTAGTCAGAGATAAAGAAGTAAGAGAATGATGTTGACAAGTCAGTGCTAAGTTGCTTTTCCTTCTTCCTCCTCTCCCATGGCAACTGAACCTTTAATCTAATATTCTATTGGACTGCCCTGAGGAGGCCAAAGCATATATTTTTTAGAAAGGTCTCTTTAAAAGCATATTTTATCAGGAGCTTTTATCACTTCAAAGTGGAAACAAAGTAAGTAAGGAGTGTGATAAAACCAATGCCAAATATATATTTTTTATAAAATGTGGAGAAAAAAAACATTTGTACACTCAAAGGAGCCAACATTTTTCTTTAAAATAATTTTTAAATAACCAAAGACAACAACTTGAGACTAAACTGTTTAAAATCTGACTCTAAGATTATTTACAATAATTTATCTCTAATCTAATTGAAAAATGGCCTTTATCAGGACTAAATTATTTAACTTTTAAATTTAAGTACAGTTGACATACAATATTACATTAGTTTCAGGTATACAGTACAGTGATTCAACAACTTATTTAATTTTTATGTGTCAAAAATAAACACTGATACTGAGAAATTAAGCTACTAGAGATAAATGACATAGAATAGCTGGATAAAGATGAATATTCCTCTCTTCAAATACCAATAGGAACCCCTTTTAAAGCTTCTTACTGCAACCAAAAGAAGCCAAATAAAAACATATTACAGTAAAAAAAAAAAATGTGGACTACACAATGTGTGCATTATCCCAGGTTAAACAAAACAAAACATTTAAAACATTAGTGTGATTTCTTGCTTTCCCTATGGGGAAAAACACAAAATTTTTATGTGGCTCATAGGAAACACTTTTAACTCCCCTCTCCCAGTGGGCAATAAACACAGCTATATAATTATATCCTACGCCACTAAGTAATTACGTCCTCATGTTATCAGTGTTGAGCTCTGATAATGGCCCATCCCTTGGAGACTGTCAAAAAATATTAAAATTCAAGATGTGTTTTCAAAAGAGAGAGCAATGGTGATACTGAAAAGGCTATGTAGCAAAAGATACAATAATTTCCTTTTGTTTTCTATAATGCAAATGGTTGGAACTAAAAATTAACTATCAAGAGTCAAATTAAGGCTTCATCCACAGAATTTCATATTTTGGGGATTCACGTAATAGAGAAATTCTGTAGCTTTTGGAGGAAACCTTAAGGGAAATAAGTATTAGAGAGTGATTAAGATGTGAACAGAAATTGTTAGTCCAGACAGCAGTTTGAATAAGTAGACTCCTACAGTTTTCAGTTTTCTATCATCACAATTTTGGACAAAGATCTTGTTTGTCTGACAGAAGCCACCTAGTTTTCCTGGAAAATTACACATACAAATGGGAAAAACTGATGTCAACTACCAGTTAACGCTACATGCAACCAAAGAAATAGATATCTAATATGCACTTTGCTAATAGCAGACAATAACAAATAAGCTTGAAAGGCTAAAATTCCAAACTTTGTTATTTTCCTCTAGATAAAGAAATCTCTCAAAATTGGTCAAGCATGTTCAGAAAGTTCTGAATTTTTATAATTCTATCTCAAGTTTCAACATGTAGATACTAAGGAACAGTAACATAAAAGATATTTCTTGATTTTTGCAACTTTATTTCTGTACTTCCAAAACTACATTAATTGCAAGAACAAGGAACAAATTTTATAAGTAGAACTAAATATATAAGCCTTCATTTGATTCTTAAGTTAATTTTTAGTTCCAATCATTTCTATTATAGTAAAGTGTTTGCAAAGGCAGAATTAAAGTTACTTCATGAAAGTGTTCTAAGTTAGTGTCCTGCCTAGGTATTCTGTGTCAGGGAAGGAGCATGTAGGAGACTGGGCTTGAGAGATGCAATCTGCCCCACACTCCTGCCCTGCAAAAAAAACAAAAAAAACCCAAAAAAAACAAACAAAAAAAATGAAGACGTTCTTTTTTTAAAGATATAATTATCATTACACAGCTTCTGGCAGTGCCTTTCAAAAGAGACAACATGGAACAGAGAAAGTAAAGCTAGGTGAGCAACTCTATTAGCATCCCTATCTCACCATTATTTACTAACGAGTGCTGCTTTCTCCTGTTGAAAGTTTTAAATGGAACATGACCTAGTGTTCCAGAAGAAAATTGTTATTTTAAGAATATAGGTTCAAGGAAAATCAGGGTTTTGATAATTAATTTTAATAGAGCACTTCAACTTCTGAGAGAGCTCTGTATTTTGGAAATTAGGAAGAACAGGGTTTTGGGGGGTAGGTTAGAATTGATATATACAAAATCCAAATCACTGATGAGATTACTTAAAAAGCTGATCAATTATATTATCTAAACCAGAAATAAAGGACTATAATCACACATATTCTTCTTAATAAAGGAATCATGGAGAGGACACTGAGTCTATTTTCCTGAAATCAAATAGTTAGATAATACCTAAATCATCTCAAGTCTCTTAATATTCCCACTGAATAATATTATATAACCTTTTCTCAACACCAATTCCAATATTTTGAAGCTTCTACAATTCTATCCCTCAGGTTCCTACAAACCACTTTTTGTTTCTTTTAACTGTTTTGCTTCTACTAATCTCAATTCCTCAAAATCCAAGTTACACAGTAGATTTTAATTAGGTTGTCATGATTTATAAGGGCTGCCTTCAAATTTCTCAAGCAAATATTTTGTTTCAAGAAAAACACAAACCAACCAATCAAGAAATTTCAAATAAACATTACTTACTTGTAACCTTTGGGATTAAGCCATCAAACTTAAAATTTCTCCAGAATCATAACAGTAATGGTTTTTAGGCTAAACAGCAGGGTTGGCAAACTACAGCCTCCTGTTTTTATTAGTAGAGGTTTACTGGAAAGTAGACACATCCATTTTTGTAATGTCAATGGCTGCTTTTGTGTTAAAATAACAGAGTTGCATAGTCCAGATAGATTACGTGGCTTACAAAGCCAAAAGTATTTACTATCTGGCCCTTTACTCGTACTCTGCCAATACCTACAGCAAACATATTGTTTTGAGGAAATAAGCTTTTCTCCCTAAAAAAAAACCAAACTGTAAAATTTGATTCTATTTAAGACGAAGAGATTTACCAATTTCCTGAAACCAGCTCTTTCTTAGGGTTTGTGTAATATACAGTTAGGTGTAAAATTCTTACTTATAGAAACAAAAAAAAACTTGCCTGAAGGCAATTCTAGCTTTTCATTCTCCCTGATTGTTCATCATTAAGAAAATACAGAGAAAACAATATCTGACAAAGGATTTGTTCTCAAAATATATAAAAAACTCCTGCAACTCAATAAAGACATATAATCCAATTAAAAAGTAAATGGGTATAAGATCTGAACAAAACTTCACAAAAGAAGATATACTAATGACCAATAAGTATATGAAAAAGTGCTGAATACCACCAGTCATCAGGGAAATGTATATTAATACCAGATATACTACTATTCCCACACCTGAATGAGTTAAATTAAAAATACTGACAATGCTTGTTGGTGAGGAGGTGGAGCAACTACAATTTTCATACATTATAGGAGGGGGTATAAAATGGAACTCTGGGGAAAAGTGTGGTAGTTTATCATAAAACTAATCATATACATACCTACTCAATCCAGAAACTCCATTCCTAGGTATTTACCCGAGAAGGAAAATATATATTTATATTTATATCTGTATCTGTATCTGTATTTTATCTATATATCTCCATAAAATAACTTGTCTAAGAATGGCTATAGCAGCTTTATTTATAATTGACAAAAATTAGGAACAGCCTAGGTATTCAGCAATAGGAAAATGGATAAACAAATTAAGCTTTCTAGTCAACTGCTTCCACTTCCGCACCTCTCTGGCACATTATGAAACAGCTGGGGGTGTTCTTTTTAAATATAAATTATATATCACTCTTCTGCTAACACCCTGTTGTAGTTACAAGGAATAAAGTCCCAATTTTTATCATGTCTACAAGACTCGAGGATCTAGCCCTTGCTTACCTCATCTCCCAGAACTCTGCCCACAAGTCTTCCTTCTGTACCACAAAAATAATAAACTCATTCCATTTTCAAGACTTGCACTGGCTATTTCTCTATCTGAGGAGCTCTGTATCTGGAATTTTACATGCCTCTTTCCCATTATTCTTACCTTTGTTCAAATGTCCCTTCTCCAGACCCTCCCAGATTGCTAACTGAAATAGTTTTCTTTTCCCCAATTTCTATCCCATTTCCTTCTCTTATTTATTCACTGCACTATCTGAAATTATATTTTGTTATTCACATGCTTATTGTCTTTCTTCTCAGCCAGAAGCTTAACATGGAGGCTTTGTTTGTTGACCAGTTTATTCCTCAGTACCTAAAAAGAGCTCCCGATATACAGCAGGCACTCAAATAGACAACTAGTTACTGCCATACTCAGTGTTGTCTCCAAACGCTAACACAATTTGAGATCAATAAACAGTGATGTGATTCATATCTTTCTTTCTTTCAAAGTCTTAATATAGGTATTCAAGAATTAAAGGAACTTATGAATATTTCCCTTATAATTACGATTATAACACAGTGGCTTAACAGTTTTATGTTATAGATAATAAACTAGAAGAGGAAAGACTAGTTTATTGAATGACTATCATGCACTGGGCTGTACTTTATATACTTTAATTATCAACAAATCTTGTGTTATGTGGGTTGTATTCCTTTTATGTATTAAAATGCAAACTCTGACAGATTTAGTAATTTGCTCAAAGTCACACAGTAGAACCAAAATTCACAATCAAATCTACTTCTAAGGTCCATGTATTTCCACACTATCACAGATCAAGATATAACAAAAAATGCATACTTTTTTCTTATTTGAGAGATTCTTCCAAAATAGAACTCAAAATTTATCAGTGATGTTTATAAAATAAGAAACAAGCTTTATTTACCTTCATTTATTTATGTTTTTAAGAACAGCCTAAAACATTTTAAAGTTTTTAAAAACAACATAAAACCACAATTTATGTTTCACTAAAGAAAATTAGAAAGGGTTATTATTTCTATAATTTTAGTTTATCTATAAGATATAGATATAATATAGATACAAACATATATATGTATGTATACACATACAAGATATCAATCTATATCTTAACACTCAGGTAATTTTCTTCAAGTAGACAGAGATTTATCTGAGAAAAATAATACACCTTGACTTAAAGTCCATCTAATACTTAATAATGGGAAAGGGGATGGTTTATAGAGAAAATTAATAAGAATTCATAATGTTAATTACTTATACAAAGTATTAAACCATTTTTGAAGATGTAAATTACTATATATTTCATTCTTGCTGTTAATATTCTTTTCCAGTATGGATAAACCATTTCCAATTTTAGAGAGAATGGTTTTTCCTTTATGTTTTCACATTTCCATCTAAGAATAACATTTATGTTATATTATATTAAGTCCTCAAATTCACATTTGCCTAAAGAGCCACTAGTGGGTAGTGAAACCCTGTGCCTTCCAATTTGAAATATTCCCCTCTCTTTCTCCCCTTCCCTTACTGCTACAAACTCCACCCATGTCTAAGACTTCCCCCCAGCTCGCTCAGCTTCTTGCCAGTGTACCTTTTTGTTCACCCTAGAAACTTTCCTTACTATTCCCAGATATGTCCTCTGATGAAATGGCCTGAAGAGTCAATAGTGAATCTTGATTTCCCACTGGAACACAGGTAAATTCTTCTGTCATGTCTTAGTTAAAATGATTTATAATTATCACCGAGGAAGCCTTTATATTCTACTTATTCCCCATTCAACATAAAAGTTACAATCTCTAGAAAACTTAAAGAAAAATGTATACTTTAAGCCAGAAAAATCCAGAAGTGATAGTGGAAGGGATTGTTGGACATATTCACTACTTCAGTCAGCACAAAGGGAAAATATAAAATATCAAAAAAGACAAAAACATAAGGCCCTAGGCATTCATACTGACTATAAGCGACAGCTCCCCACCACAAAGATCCCAATTTCCCAACCCGAACACCCTACCTTCTAAGGCCTAAAAAACAACCATCACTCTTAGAGCTCAGTGTGTCTTTGTCAAACAGGCAAGCAGATGCTCCTTGGGACTGAGAAAAGCTCTATCTAAACTATTCTGAGTCTTTTCCCCAGCACAGCAACAGATGTGGTGACTGAGTCTAAAGTACCACTAGCCACTATTAGTTCTGGCCTAGGATTAGAACAATAACAATAAAATGGCTATTGTTTATTGAATTTTTACCATATGTCAGACACTGTGCTAAAGTACTTTATATATATTGTTTAATTCTTATAACCCTACATGATAGGTACTTACTATTATTTTTTTTCAGTTGTGGAAACTGAGGCACAGAAAAGTTAGGTAATTTGCCCATTATAGAAAGTGGTGAAATCAAAATTTCAACACTATTCTGAGTGACTCTAAACCTATAATATACACAATATTTATTGGATGATGAATCAATGAATTTCCAGAAATATTTCCACATATTCATACATGGGGGTCTGCCTATATTTGACTTATCAGGATCTTATCAAGTCATCAGCGAAACTGTAAACTTTATTTACCCTAACAAAATATCACAAATATAGCTATTTTAAAAGCATGTAAAATTGACCAACTAGCATCTTAGCACATACCTACTGTGATGTTACCCATCTTGCTTTGTAATGTTATATTACCTGTAAAAGAGAGAAAAAGAAAGACAAATTTATATATTATGGGTAATCTAGAAAGGAACTGTTATATGCTATCTGAAAACATGCTTGGATATCCAGAATGTTATTTAATAATGTTGTTATTGTTGTTGGCAATTTTCCTCAGTATCACACACCAATGACAGATTTACTTGCAACTCTGAAATAAATAGCTTTAGGTATCTATATAAACTCTCTTCCACCACTCCAGCTTAAGCTTTTATAGCATAACTATAAGACATACCACTATATAGTATGGAAAACATGGAAGAAAAATGATACTTCTAAAACCCATAAATGAAAAAATTACTTAAATGCACTGACTATGCATTTTCAACCAAATATCACTATATTTTTAAAATTTTTTAATTTTTATTAGTTTCAAGTATATATTGGTTAGACATCTATATAGTTAGCAAAATGATCCCCCCATTGCTCCCTCCCTCCCCTTTCCAACTAGCCAATGTACTAATGCTAACTGCATTCCCTATACCATCTTCCCCATTCCCGTGACCACCTGTGAGCTAATAATTTATATTTCTTCAACCCTTCACCCCATTCTCCTAGTCCCTCAAAGCCCCTCCCCTCTTTCCATCACCAAATTGTCCACTATATTTGTGAGTCTGTTTTTGATTAATTTGTTCCTTTTGTTCTTTAGATTCTGAATGTAAGTGAAATCATGGTATTTATCTTTCTCTGACTTATTTCACTCAGCATAATAACCTCTAGGTCCATCCATGTCTTTGGAAATGGTAGGATT